CACTTTCCTGTAATTTGGTAAATGGTCGTTTATCTCATGCTTGAGATCAGTGGCAGTCTTCCTTCTGTCCTGAAGGCTGCATAAACAAAGATACTTAACATAAGTATCATTGAGTTTAGGTGTTCTGTCTCTTCCTTTCCTATTTTCAAATTTACCTGTCTCAGTCCCACGATTTAGGGTGTACTTGACGGTGTTTGGGGAGCATTTCAAGTCTGCAGCAATTTGTCGGAGAGTCCAACCAGCATCACATAAAGCTTTTATGCAAACTCTCTGCTCTACTGAGAATTCTCTATGCTTTTTGGGCTGTGGCATGACAACAAAACTTAATATATAGTGATAAACACTGATTTTATAAAGGTTTATTTGGGGAGTGCTATCAAATTGATTTCTTCTAGCATATACCGGTACCATATGCTGGCTCCTTGCTAGCTTCTTTCTATATAGTTAAGATACTGAATGGGGTACCATGCCAGTTATTTCAGACCCTAAATTTGATCAGTGTGTTCATTTAAGCAGAACCCTTATGTCATGCCCTTGGTACAAGTATATGGGATTTATAAAAAATGATAAGTATTTTCACCCTGGCTCATTCAATTGTCAACAGGGATCAGTGAAGCATTACCATGGTGTTGAAATTTACATTCTGTAATGGCATGGAAGAATTAGCCCCATAAAATGGAAAGAATGACAAAATATATTCTCTTGTCCTAACACTTTTGCACAGTACTGTATATGTGAATAACAGTTATGGATCTTCTGTCATAATACATCATGTGAACTCAACAATGTACATGTGGATAACAAGGTTAATATCAGAGTTCCTAGCACTATCAGCTAACTAAATTTAAGACTTGAAAACCAAGCTAAAGACAAATATAAGACCCTTAGACATGTAATTGTGATCACATAATACTGCAAAAGGAATATTAATGAAAAATACATCATCTTTGAGAATCCACTCATTTATTATGTTGAATTTTGCTTTAACTTCTGAAGAGCCAGTGAAATTTTAAAACATAAAAAATCATCAGCAGAAAATGTATTAAGCACAACTGTTTGAATTGAACTAGTGCACTCAAATTTTTTACAACTTATGAACTTTTGGATGTCAATGTTGGTCTCCAGCTCTTTTATTTGAGTAAGTTTTTCTTTCATTTGTTTCCTGATTACATTAGATTTGGTGATGAGGTGAACTATTTTGCTTCTTGGGCATTTTTCAACTTGTTCAGCAAATGTATCTGCATCCAACTGAAGAGATTCTGTTACTTCATAAAGTTTTTCAATTCTTCTTGACCACTTCTAGCTCATTCCATTCTCTTTCTGTTCTAATGCTTTTCTTCAGAGTCAGCTTTGCTTTTTTCTCTTTTAGGTACATGTGATATTTAGAGTAGGCATTCTTCAGTAGCTCCTTGTTCATAGGGACCTTGGTTACTCCCCCACATATGCTGACATTATCACACACCAGCATCTGTGCAACCTATTGATCTGGGCTGTCACATCCTCTTAACTAACTTAAACTATTATTACAAAAAAAAAAAAAGATTTTACAATTCTTGACATTAACAACTACAAAAAATGTACTGCCTTTAAACCATCTCAGCTAAAAGTAAACTTCAAATTTCTTTTAATTTAAGTCCAAGTTGTTTCTGTGTAGGCACGAAATTTATTTATTTAGATGATTTGAATATAAATCGCAAAACAGGTATATATGTATATAGACATTTGATATAACATAATGTTTCAGGACAACAAGGGACCTATTGGTCCATCTCAGTTGTCCCATTCTCTAAACTAAACTAAAGCTATTAAATAATAAATTTGTAAACAATTTTAAAGCCAGCCCTTATCATTCATGTACTTATCAAGCTTTCTCTTAAACTCACTTAAATTTACTGCTTCCACAACATCCAAAGGCAACCCATTCCAAAATTCAACCATCCTTCTAGAAAAATAAAACTGTCTTAGCTGAAGATGACTCCTTCCCTGCCAAAATTTATGTGTCCCCTATTCCTATTATTCTCACTATTAAGTATGAAAAATGATGATTCATCAACACTATCAATTCCCTTTACAATCTTAAACACTTCAATCAGATCCCCTCTAATTCTTCTTTTTTCAAGAGAAAACAACTTGAGAAATTTCAACATCTCCTTGTATGACAAACCCTCCATTCCGTGCACCATTCTAGTTACCCTTCTCTGAACCCTTTCCAACAATTCTTGCATTTATTATAATTAAAATCCATTTGCAATTTATTGGCCTAACTCATTAAACAATCTAAATCCTTTTATAAATCAGCAGCATCCTCTTCACAGCTAGTAACACCCAATACCTTAGTGCCTGCAAATTTAAGTAATTTATTAATCATTCCTTTATCTGTGTCAATGGCTTATCAACTTTCTTCTAGCCACTTATCTTTGAACACACACTTTCCCGTAATTGCATTAATATTTCAATATGAACAGTGATACACACACTATGGTTAAAGTGCTTAAAGTCCCAGGCTGAATGCAAACATACCATAACCAAAGTAGGCCTAGTCTCGCAATTTGCATTAGCAGTACTGCTCATGTCTATCAAAACAAGCCAAATTCAATTTTGTGCTCCCAGTCCAGGTAATAAGCCTAGACAGAATGAATGCATGCAAAATCGATCTAGTGCTCCCAGTTTCATGTAGGCCTAGATAGATTGAATGCAAAGTACTTTAATGCTATTAAGCATAGGTGCAGTGTGGAACAAACCAAAGTTGTGAAAAAGATACAGCCTCAATACCCACAGAAATTACATTTAAGACCTTAATACCCAAAACCTGTGAATTTAAAACTTTTTAAGTCCATAAAAAATAAAAAATTAATTTAAGACTTTTTAACGACTGCTAAGAACCATGAATATAGAAAAGAAGCTTATAAAAAAACTGTAGAAAAGAAAGGATGTTCGTATGAAGTTGAGAAACAATCATGGATAGAACAGTGATTGAAATTAATTAAAAGTAAGTTGAGGATTCATTCAATATTTCATTACTGTTACAGTCTGCTATTTCCAAATCCTTCTACAAAGAGATATCTGTAAATTTTGTCAAGCCATATTGCTTGTTGATGTTCTGAAATTTTTACACTCTAAAGCTTAACCATTAAAAAAAGTTGCAGCTGTTGAATCATAGGTTTTACTTTAGGTGTTTAAATAATTGTTCCAGCTACTATGTTTTGCTCAACAAATATTAATTTTATTCTGAAATGCATCAAACCTTTTAAAATTAGAATAATAAGAAAAATAAAAAACAAACCTTTTATTCTTTGCACCAAATAATCTTGGTTGACTGTGAGGTCTAAATATGGCAAAAGTGTGGCCAATTTTGGCACATGCTGGCCTTTAGTTAGTGCCACTTGGCGCAAGGTAGAAAAGCTCACATCTAAGGATATAAACAAAACATATATTACAATTGTGTACGGTGCTTTTCAGTTGCTGTAACACATGTACTCTAATCAAGTACATGTTATTACAACACTCAAATGACAGTTTGTTGCTGTACCTTAATTTAGAATCTATACAATACTTTTTTTTAAGAAGATTCCTTATTTCCAGGCACTACATTCATAGAAACTGCCTGATGACACCAATCATTGTTGAGCATTTTGAAATATAGTCACTTGTTACCTCCCCTTATCATCTTTGCACAGGTAGTAACACTGAACAAACTTGTTAATTAATAATCATTTTAAACTACTTTCCAAACCAATATTATGTTATGGAAAATATGTAAGAAGTAAATATAAATACTTTTATATTCACAGACCCTGCTGACATGATGACTGCCAAAGTTAAGCCAACACTATAAAGGATACTACAGAAAGAGGTGTAGATAAGAGAGATTTGGCAAGAAATCTGAACAGTAACTGATGGTTCTGCATTTTTTCATAGTACATTGACCAGCATATGTTACTATCAAATGGTGTTGTGTGTTTTGTATCTTGTATTTTACAGGCACATGTCTGTGTTGACAATATTTCAGAATCTACAATGAGCATAAACTAGATGCAGGTGATGAGGGATGACCTACAGAATAATTGTCAATTCTCTTACTAGGGAAGATTGAGAATCTTGTTAAATATTTCCTTATAAAATTAAAAACTGAAAACTTACATAATATAAAGATTTGTTTTATTAACTAAGTTTGATGCCAAGTTTATTCACGTATCATGAAAATAAAGTTGTTCAATTAAATATTAAACATAACTCTCTAAAATCATCATGACATGCACACTTTGAACTGCACACAATGAGAGGGTTAAAACTACTATATTTTTAAAAATTCAGGTACTATTTTTTACATTAGGGCAATAAAATATCAATGTATCTAAATGCTCAACTGTTATAGAGTATCATCAGGCACATTTGTAAAATATATGGTTTTGATGTATAGAAACAATTTCCAAATGAAAAATTATTTTTAATTTTAACATGAAAATTACTTTATACTTGGAACAGTCAACACTGACTGCATATAATCATGGACAAATTGTTAGTATAACTATTCATTTACAAAATCAGATTTTTTGTGCACAAAAGGCTTGTAATGTTTACTGAAAGTCTATCAGATTTCATGAAGATAAACAAAACATGTTAAAAGTTATAGTACAATAACTATGATGGTAATTTAGGGCCAAAAGGTCGGTGTAATCCACTGAACCCATATCAAGAGGGTTTAAGTCTAATGACTAATCTTTATTGAAACATGTTATTCATGCTAGTTTATTCTAATATTATAAGCTCCTTTGCAAATGTTTTTGCTTATCTATTTACATATATACACATACACTTAATGTGAACATGTAAAAGCAATAACTTTAAACAACAGTACCAAAGCTCCTTTTCATACTTATAAAACAGAGAGAGAGAGAAGGACAGCACACTTACTATCTGTATTCATAAACATTATAGCAAAGTTTAAACCCACATTGTTTAAAAGAATAGTTTATGGCTAGGTTGTTAAAGAACTCTGACTCACCTCCAATCTGCAATTCTGCAGAGCCTAATCTTCTGAGACTTTCATTAATGTTATCTATTTCTGTAACCAGTTTCCTCAAGATTGTTTGGGTCAGCCACTAATGATTATAGAACGTTATTATGCTAATTCCAAATCAATTTAAATCCATTCATTAATATGCTTGATTTATCATGATATTATTTTCCTGGTTAAACCATATTCCAGTATGGATATTTCCACTCACTCTACAATGTGTTCTATTATAATCTTTCTTGACTTTCACTTAAAAACAAAATCAGCTTAGCGGGAACTAATAATTTTGGTTTTTCTTTTAAAGAACTTATAAATTTACAAATTACAAAGAGAATCAATAAATTTAAACTATTTCAAGATCAAGTTCCAGAAAAAATGCACTAAACTTCCAATTAGCAATAACACAGAAAGAAATATAATTAAGTCCCAGTTATCAAAGTAATGTTACAAAATAGCAAGTGTTAGTGACAAACATTTAATGCTAAAGCTAACTTCTCTCTTCTTTCAACATGAAGTCTAGATGATGGTCAGATATAAGTAGAGGAACAAACTTTTAGCTTGGGAAGACATAATAAAGAAATATCAGACACATACAGCATATAAAGATACATCCTTTTAATCTAAATATATGTCAAAGCTTTCAAGGTATAACCTTTCTTAGGTTTTCTACCCATAAGTTGAGCTGGCTCTCAGTTATCTTCAGCCTGCTGAAAACCTGTAAAAGGATTAACATCAGATATTAACTTGAAAAACTAAATAGAGAGATAAAATCCAGAAATGAAATAAAGATTCATACAAAACATTATTCCTTTAAACTATAAGGCAAAGATTTTTAAGTTACATTCAAGCCCAAGTGCATCTGTTAAGAAAGAAACATACTACTGTTCCACTTTATACACAACTTTTGTACAGAATTTTTAGACAGTGTATGTGAGGTAATTTTACTTGTATGAAGTGTAATCATATTCATTTATTTTTTTGTTTGGTATTGATGCCTTAAGTGTTTTTCTATCAGAAACTACTTCTGAAAATTAATCTCATGTTTCATAATTAAGTTTGATAAATACAACTCTAGTCAAAAGAAGTTCTTGCATGTTTTCTCATTATGAATATATTTATTAATAATCATATCAAATCAGGTAGGTAGCAAAAGAAATTAACAGCCCAAGAATACAAAACAGCAACAAAATATATATGAATACAAAAAAAATCTTACTACAAGAGTATAAACATCAGTTTGGCTTACTTTTGGAACAAACTACAGAGGTTCAGCACATTTCATTAACTCTCTCAATGCAGGCTTGGTCAATTTGACTGATCACATGACCTCTTTGTACTCGTTTAAAGTCTTTACAGATTTAATACTTCTAGCTTTCAATATAGTGTGTATATCTTCATACAATTTTGGCAGTCTTTCAGTTAACATTATAAGTCTTTCACATACAAAACATCATATTTTTTAGTAAAGTATTTTTAATAAACTAAAATAAAGATTTGTACATGAATACATTGAGTTTTTGTTTTGAATAGTCCATGTGCAAAGTAATATTCATGTTAAGATTAAAAATACTTTTCTTCATGTCAAAAATCTCAAATTTCCTTTATGTAATCCCTAAAACCTCCTAAATACATTTAAACGTTTTTTTTTCTTTAGAAAACCATATAATTTATCTGTTATTTTCTCTATGCTATCTCTATACAGGATCTGTCAATTTGACCGACCTCGTAACCACCAAAAAAAATTGAAATAAATCTAAATAATCCTTTTTTATTTCTAGAATGACTTTAAATTGTAACATTAAACTACATTTGTATATCCTAAGTAGCTTTAAGCTTGTAACAGTATACATCTATTTATAATTAAATTTTATTGTTTTATTGCCCTTCGAACCATATCTAACTACTATATATATCCGAGCCATTATAAGTTGTAAATCACTAGGGGAACGTGCAGGTCAGGTGTGTGTCTCATGAAACATTTTTATAATATTATTATTTATTTTACCTAATCTAATCTTAACTAACTTAAAAAGATCCATATTGTTACATTTTAGTTACTCTTATAATAATAAATAAAGAATAAACATGAAAAACAAGAAATAAAGTACTTATCCAATCTTCTTTTTTCTTGCTGTCGATTGTCGA